CGTGTAGTTCACCTGCCGGGAATTCGGGGGGTCAGGGGCGTCGGGGAGGAAAAGGTTCTCGGTTTTGGGGGGTTGGGGGATCCCCAAAATCCCGGTTCCCGGGGATGGGTGTACAGGGGATCCCAAAATTCCGATTTCCAAGGATTTGGATGCCATGGGGATTCCCAAAATCCCAGTTCCCAGTGATGGGTGTACAGGGGATCCCAAAATCCCGATTTCCAAGGATTTGGATGCCATGGGGATTCCCAAAATCCCAGTTCCCAGTGATGGGTGTGCAAGGGATCCCAAAAATCCCAGTTCCAGGAATTCAGGTGTGCAGGGGGTCCCAAAAATCCTGATTTCCAAGGATTTGGATGCCCAGGTGATCCCCAAAATCCCAGTTCCCGGGGATGGGTGTGCAGGGGATCCCAAAAACCCCTTTTTTAAGGAATTCAGGCGTACAGGGGATCCCCAAAATTCCGATTTCCAAGGATTTGGATGCCCAGGATATCCCTAAAATCCCAGTTCTGTGGGATGGGTGTGCAGGGAGTCCACAAAATCCCATTTCCAGGAATTCAGGTGTACAGGGGGTCCCCAAAATCCCAATTCCCAAGGATTTGGATGTCCAGAAGATCCCAAAAATCCCATTTTCAGGAATTCGGGTGTACAGGGGATTCCCAAAATCCCAATTCCCAAGGATTTGGTGTCCAGGGGATCCCCAAATCCCAGTTCCCAGGGATGGGTGTGCAGGGGAGGCGCAGACGATGTTGATGCTCTTGTTCTTGCCCGGGAAGAAGTTAATGACCTGCGGGACCAGTACGGACCAGTATGAACCAGTGTGGACCAGTATGAACAAGTACAAATCAGCACAGACCAATATGAACCATTATGGACCAGTATGGACCAGTATGGCCCAGTATGAACCGGTATAAACCAGTATGGACCAGTACACCATCCCAGTCCATTCCAGTCCATCCCAGTCCCATTAACCCCAACGACACAACCCAACACCCGCCCACAGCCCCTCTCCCAGTGCTCCCAGTATAACCCAGTGCCCCCAGCCCCTCTCCCAGGGCTCCCAATCCTTCCCAGTCTCTCCCAGTCCCTCCCAGTCCATTCCAGTCCATCCCAGTCCAACACAACTCACATCTAGACACCACCCCAGTCCCTCCCAGTCCCCCCCAGTATAACCCAGTCTCTCCCAGTCCCATTAAACACAATTACACTGCCCATTCCCCGCCCCCAGCCACCCAGTCCCATTAAACACAATTACATGACACAACACCCACCCCAGCCCCTCTCCCAGTCACTCCCAGTATATCCCAGTCCCTCCCAGTCCATCCCAGTCCCTCCCAGTCCCATTAAACACAATTACACAGCCCAATAACCACCCCAGCCCCTCTCCCAATCCCTTCCAGTATAACCCAGTCCCTCCCAGTCCCACTAAACACAATTACACTGCCCATTCCCCACCCCAGCCCCTCTCCCAGTCCCTCCCAGTCCATCCCAGTCCCTCCCAGGTATGAACCAATAGGGACTAGTATGGACCAGTACGGACCAGTATGAACCAGTGTGGACCAGTATAAACCAGTATAGACCAGTATGGACCAGTATGGACCAGTATGAACCAGTATAAACCAGTATAGACCAGTATGGACCAGTATGGACCAGTATGAACTGGTACAAACCAGTAAGCACCAGTACACCACCGCAGTCGCTCCCAGTCCCATTAAACCCAACGACACAACCCAATACCCACCCCAGCCCCTCTCCCAGTGCTCCCAGTACAACCCAGTCCCATTAACCCCAAGAACACAACCCAATAACCACCCCCAGCCCCTCTCCCAGTCCCTCCCAGTCCATCCCAGTCCCATTAAACACAATTACATGACCCAACACCCACCCCAGCCCCTCTCCCAGTGCTCCCAGTACAACCCAGTCCCATTAACCCCAAAAACACAACCCAATAACCACCCCCAGCCCCTCTCCCAGTCTCTCCCAGTATAACCCAGTCCCTCCCAGTCCCTCCCAATCCCATTAAACACAACTACACTGCCCATTCCCCGCCCCCAGCCCCTCCCAGTCCCTCCCAGTCCCTCCCAGTCCCTCCCAGTATAACCCAGTCCCATTAAACACAATTACATGACCCAACACCCACCCCAGCCCCTCTCCCAGTCCCCCCCAGTATAACCCAGTGCCCCCAGCCCCTCTCCCAGTGCCCCCCAGTACAACCCAGTCCCATTAAACACAATTACATGACCCAACACCCACCCCAGCCCCTCTCCCAGTGCCCCCCAGTACAACCCAGTCCCCCCAGTATATCCCAGTGCCCGCGGCGCGGGGCTCACCCGGTTGACCTTGACGAGCACGCAGGGCCGGCCGCTGGCGTAGCCGAAGTCGCCGCGGGCGCCGAGGCCGGCGCAGGGCCCGAGGCGCGAGCGCTCGAAGCGGCACGCGCGCTTGGGGAAGTTGGGCACCGCGTCGTCGGGCTGCTCGTTGTAGCGCCCGGCCGCGCACGCCGCATTGCGGGCGGCCTGCACGCTGTCGTTGTACGCTGGGGGGCAGGATGGGGTTACTGGGATGGACTGGGAGGGACTGGGAGGGACTGGGATGGACTGGGGCCATCCCAGTATGGGTTAGAGCCATCCCAGTATGGGTTAGAGCCATCCCAGGACAGACTGGGAGCGTTGCACACCGCCTGCACGCTGTCGTTGTAGGCTGGGGGGTGTGACAGGGTTACTGGGATGGACTGGGATGGACTGGGAGCGGCGCTGAGAGCAGCTGGGGCCATCCCAGTATGGGTTACAGCCATCCCAGTATGGGTTAGAGCCATCCCAGTATGGGTTAGAGCCATCCCAGTTCGGACTGGGAGCGTTGCGCGCCGCCTGAACGCTGTCGTCGTACGCTGGGGGGTGGGATGGGGTTACTGGGATGGACTGGGATGGACTGGGATGGACTGGGGCCATCCCAGTATGGGTTAGAGCCATCCCAGTATGGGTTACAGCCATCCCAGTATGGGTTAGAGCCATCCCAGTACAGACTGGGAGCGTTGCACGCCGCCTGCACGCTGTCGTTGTACGCTGGGGGGGGCACGGGGTTACTGGGATGGACTGGGAGGGACTGGGAGAGTGTACCAGCCCAGTTTGGGTTAGAGTGTGCCATCCCAGTATGGGTTAGAGCCATCCCAGTATGGGTTTGTTCCATCCCCGTATAATTAGGATCATACCAGTATGGAGTTGGGCCTTCCCAATCACCTCCCAGTCCCTCCCAGTATAACCCAGTCCCCCCCCAGTCCCTCCCAGTATATCCCAGTCCCCCCAGTGCCCCCAGTGCCCCAGTGACTCACGCTCCAGGAACTGGTGCAGCGCCCGCACGTACTGGTGCCAGGTCTGGCTCTGGCTCACGTTGAAGGTGACATCGAGACCCTCGGAGCAGGGACGGATCATCAGCCCTGGGGACACGGGACAGTGAGGGGACACGGGACAGTGAGGGGACAGCGGGGGGACAGCGGGGACATCAGGGACAGTGAGGGGACACGGGACAGTGAGGGGACAGCGGGGGGACAGCAGGGACATCAGGGACAGTGAGGGGACACGGGACAGTGAGGGGACAGCGGGGACACT